TTTAACACTTCTCGGATTTTTTAGTGTTTGAAAATCTATTGTTCTATTATAGAATCTTCATTTTGTATCCGATAATTTCCTTCGAAAGGTAAAACGAAAATATCAAAATTTCACCTGGATTAGACAAAAATTGTAAGTTTTAAGGAATTGACACATACGCACACAGACGATGCTTGTTATATGAGTAATTATTATTACAATTTTAATTATAAAACGTTCTCAGCTTTTTAAGTAAATTTGATACGAATTAAATGAAGCTGTAAAGCTAGATTCTTACAAAAATCGCATTGAAGATTTCTAGCTCCATATATTAACGCTTATTTGGTACAAAGACATCAGTATAATTTATAAAAGAAATTCCATAATTGATTGCAGAAATTATTAAAGTCAACGTACGCAATTAGACTAAATTTATAAGAAAATTAGATTACTACAAGTAAGTTATCGCGCATTTAGAATTATCTTCGGATAAATTTCTATAGACGCGATTTATGTTAAAATGTAAAGTTTAGATAAAATATAATGTAAAATAATGTAAAATTTTTTAATTTGTAAAATTCTCATTAAAATTTTAAAATGTTAAAATGTATTTTCGTATAAAAAATAATTCTTTCTTCTTAATTAATTAATTAAGATCTGTTCGATGGCGTGTTTTGTCTTATTTTGATATTAGTCTACCTTTATGGAAATTTGGTGTAATTTATGTTGGATAGTTGGAGTAGATATGTTATTGCTTAGTTATCATTCGTGATAATTAAGTTAGACTCACAAGTCAGAAGTAAAAATGTATAATTACGCTGGCAATAAGTGCAGTTACCAAGCCATTGAATCCGATCTAAACGCTTTTAATTATATTTTTCTGTCTGGATTTGAATAAATTTCAACGTCCACATTTTACTTCTCGCATAAATAACTGATTATTATAATTCTAAATGTATTATGATGGACTGTACTTAATACAGTCGTTCTAACAATAATAGAACATACAGTGATTCCCTAGAAACTCTTTATTATTTTCATGTAACTTTGAAGAAATTTTTAGTACGTTTGGTAGCAAAATACAGTGGTACCTCAGGATACGAACGTCCCAGCATACGAAATTTTCAGGATACGACATGAAATTCGAACATATTTTTGCTCCACGACACGAACAAAAACTCACCATACGACGTTACATTAGTTCGCAGCGCCATTTTTTATTCACTTCTGTTCATCGGCCTCAGTCCGAGTGTTTGCTTCGTCGTGGAAGGATCTCGTTCAATAAAGGAAATCTTGAGGTATTATCAGAAAGTGACTGATTTTATTGAAAAGAAACATCCCAAAAAGATTGGCCGTATTGCTGCTCGGAGTAATGACATTTGCCTAAGTCATTTTAGAAACATTTTAAAAGTAGGCAAAGCCAAACCTCTTTGGATAGATATTTTACCAAGCGACCTGTATCCAGTGAAAGTGCTGGTGGAAGTGAAGAAAGAAAGCAAAAAAGCAGTGAATAAAAAAATTAAAAAAAATATGAAACAGAAAAGATAAAAATAACTTAACACTAATTTTTTAAAGTTATTGTTACATTATGTTATGTAAGTTAAGTTTTAAAATCATTTCCCTTCTCCCTCTCTTCCGTTACCAGTTTACACTTCCACCGTCGTCTATCCTCAAAGGTAAAGTGCAAATAAAACTACATTTTTTTAATCAATTATTATTTTATTATGGTTATTTATACATTTACGACTACAAAACGCATTTTCAGTGTTTTCCTTACTACAGTTATTTTTTTTTTTAAATGTACAACTTAGCTTTAATTTGAGTGTGTTTTTCGTGTTGGAATGGATTATTTGGTTTTACATGTAATCGTATGGGGAAAAATGATTCACCTTACGACATTTTCATGATACGATCTCAGTTTCGGAACGGATTAATTTCGTATCCTGAGGTACCACTGTATCAACAATTATTACATAAGTTTAAAGAAAAATGATTAATAAACAAGAGATATTATTATCAAAAATAGGATGTCCAACATTAATAGAACATGTACTTATTACTTTCTTTGTAATTAATTCCAATGATTGGAATTGATAAAATTTGCATGAAAATACAATCAACAAGTGAAAAAAAGGTTTAGTAAATGCATAGTACCTTATTATTAAAAATGGGATATGGGAAGCACCTAACTGTAAAGGAGATCAAAATTGATGTGTTTCACCAGGAAGGGAGAAAAGTAACTTGGATTGCTAAAAATTTGGGAAGTCCTCACTCATCAATCCCAATGTATCTCAATAGCAAGGAGCAACGAACAGGAAAACGAAACAGTGGGCGCAAGAGTTTAACAACGTCTGGAGAACAATGTGCAATTGTTCGACGAGGATTGCAATGAAGCACATCCGTTCAAAAAATCAAAAATGAACTGAAGCTGAGCTGCAGTAAATCAACATTGCTCAATGTTTTGAGATCAACAGACATTGTTTCTTTCATCAAAATGAAGACAGACAACCGGCTTAAGGAGAAACAAAAACAACTTCGATTACAGTTTGCCAGAAACAACTTTGATAGATAGGAAGGATGGCGGAAAGTAATTTTTTCAACGAGAAAAAGTGGAATAGTAGAAACTGATAGTTTTAAGTATTATTGGGCAGACAAAATACTAGATCAAAAGCAGTACTCAAAGAGAGTAGTTGGTAGTAGTACATTCGTGACTTGGACGGGGATTGGATGGAATGGAAAGACAGATCTAGTATTTATTGAAGGTCGAAACAACTCTCAAACTTATCTGGAGCTTGTATGAGGGCAACTCCAAACTTATGGACAGAAAATTGCTGGACAGAACTTTGAATTCATGCAGGATAATGCAAGCTTCCATGTATCAAAATCAACGTTATCCTTTTTTTCAGAGCAAGAACGTCCGACTTTTGGACTGGCCACCCCTCAATTGAACCCAATTAAACCCAATTGAAAATCTTTGGGGTGACTTGGTTTGCCAAATGTATAGCAATGGAAAGCAATACAGGACTGTTACTGAACTAAAGGCTGCTCTCATGGAAGCATGGAAAAATATTTCACAAGAATGACCGAAATTTTTGATTAATTCAATATCTAATCGTATTTTTCAGCTTGTTTTCAAAGATGGTAGTAAAATCAGCTACTAATTTTAATTTAAAGATATTCTATTAATGTTGGACATTCTATTTTTGCTAATAGTATCTAGCTGTTTTGTTTATTAATCATTTTTCTCCAAACTTGTGCTATAACTGTTGATATCTTACTATAAAATGTACTAGAAAAATTCATTAAAGTTACAATGAAAATAATAGAGAGTTCCTAGGCAAAAACTGTATGTTCTATAATTGTTGGAAGAACTGTATTATTAATCTAAATAATAAGTTTATGTGTTTTTAAAATGATAAAATATATAAACAGATTCAAACGTTCATATTTTTAAACGTAATAAACTCATTTAGATAAAAATGCATTCGTTTTTCTATAGAAGTGATCATCAACAGGATATGATTTGCATATAAGATAAAAAATGTGATGTATATGCACATAAGCTAAAATAAAATATCGCGCCACCAAATGTTGCTGGGAAAGTTAAGCAACTCGTTGCTGGAATTTTTAATGTTTATAAATTAAATAAAATGCTAAAATTAATTCAAATCAAGTTGTTTAGTTTAATTTTATTTTCTTAAAGTAATTCTGTCTATATTGATCCACGTAAAAAACATCTTTTTTATATAACTTTCAGTAAATATTACATTTTATCGGCTCAAATTATTGATCTTTTTTGATTTAAAACTGTTTGTACATTTCTCAAGAAAATAGAACTTTAAATTCAAAATTGTGAACAGTATTTTTTAAGATTGCAAATTATTTAAATTCAACAACATTAATTTTTTAAAGATGTTCAATTCTTCTTATGAATTACAGAATGAGTAATATTTTGAATAATTAAACCTTTAAGGGAGAAAACTTTTCTTATGCAAACCTCTAATTTTGAGTTAATATTTGTAAAATTATTCAACTTGTATAATTACTCTTGCACGGTATATTTTAATAATGATCTATCCAAATAAGAACAAAAACTAGTAATTAATAAACATATTCATTAAAGACTTTAAATAAAAATATTCATTTAGTTTTATGAAAGATTTATGCAATATTTTTATGAAAGTGAAGAATTATTTGGAATAATTGTAATGAAATATTTATAAGAAAATAGTGACCAAGTACAGTAAAACCTGTTCAAAATGGAACCTTAATAAAATGGAAACCTGCCTAAATAAAAAGAATTCTCCGGAATGCAGCGATTTTCTGTGTTAAAAATAATCCTGTTCAAAACAGAAATCTACCGAACTGAAAAAATCGTAACGTTCCAGTCCGGTTTACACAAGTTTTACTGTACAGTACTTAACATGAGAGATGATAATGCAGTTATAATTATTGTAATTTTGTATCTAGGTTATATATGCTTACATTCTTATTTATGTGCTTTAATTTGTCTCTTAACGATAACTGACACTTAAGAATAAACTTATAATAAATATTGGCTTTAAAAATATTTCATTTTTGGACAAAAAATATGTAAAAATACATATTTATTTCGAACAATACATAGTTACTAAAGCAAATACAGTAATATAACAATCTGAATCATCCTATATAACAATAAATCGACAAAAATAGATGTTATTTCCACTAATTATGACAACATGATCACAGTTTTTACACAGTCGAATATAATCTAATGCAAAGCGCGAATTAGACAATTTTATATTAGNTTCCGTGACAAGAAAGCTCCATTTGAACTTCTTTAGATGAAGTCTTTAATTAAGTGCAATTAATTTTATTCCTCAAATAAGCAGGACTGATAGCTTTTAAGTAATTATATAACTTTATTTAGGTTGTTTGTGTTATTTTCCGCTTTTAATTTATTTCGTGGAAAGGTTAATTGGTTTAACACGTTCTACAAAATTAATTGCTTACAATAGATGTAAGTCAACACAGCATAGTTTTATGTATAAGCAGACCTTATATAAATTTTTGTGGAGCCTTACTTTTTGCCACAGTTTTCTTCTCGTCATTGTTTTAAATAATATTGTATTATAAAAATATATTAAAGTATTTAAGCTATAAAATAAAATCTAAAAAAACAGTATTTTGTTTACTTTAAAATGTTTAAAGATATAAATGTTATTCTCGTGTGCAGACCGACAAGTGATAAGATATATACGGTATGGTTACGTTAATCCAAACCCCTTGTAATCCGAACAGCTTCTACCATTCCCCTAACTAAAACAATGTCAACTGTACACCTGCATCTCACGTGTAAAGTAAATCTAATTCACCTGTTGTGAGATTTGCTGCTGAAAAATATCGTTCAATAGTAAAAAAATGGTTTCAAAGCGTAAGCATCATATTAATCCAAACTACAACGAGTCTCAATTAGTTCGGATTACCGTGACCTTACTGTAGTACAAGTGATGATGCAGATACAAGTGATACGATAGGCACAGCTGTGTGTATATGTATATACAGTATATATATATATATATACAGCTATTCCTATATCTATATATTTTAAACACTTAATATCGATCAATATGTAATAATACCGATTATTTAAATATAATACAAAGCTTTTATGGTCCACTTTACAACATATTACTTTGATTAATATGATATTTTAACTTTGAAAGACAACAGATTCACGACAGCCAGGCATATATATATATATATGTGTATATATATACGTGTGTGTGTATGTGTGTATAGTTTTTCCTTTCTATTGTCTAATCAAAGTGAGAAATTCTTCTCTAGTTTTAGGATCCTCACGAAAAACACCTAACATAGTGCTGGTTAATGTCTTACTATTTAATTTCTGTACTCCTCTCATGACCATACACATGTGGCTATAAATAAGTCAGATGTATAAAAATTATTTCTCGAACGAGTGTAATTAATTTATAATTCATTTAAAATGACTTACGTAGCTTCGGTTACGACACCTACTCCAGTAGGGTTGATGGCTTCAGTTATAGCAACAGCAATTTGTTTAGTCAAGCGTTCTTGAACTAGGAAAATTGCAATATTAAATTGATTAAATTATAATAATATTTTTTTGCAATTTAAAGAAACATGAATTGATTTACATACCTTGTAATCTTCTACTATAAACTTCGACTATCCTATTTTAAAAATAATTAGAGACATTATGGATTAAGAAATACTAGAAATATTAAATATTCTAGAATTTAATTCATATTATGTACAGTACTGTACATACCTAGCAAGTTTACTCAATCCTAAAACTTTTTTATTTGGTAAATATCCTATAGAAACCTGAAAATAAATTTTATACACTGAGACTATTATTTTTAAAGAATATTTATTACGTATTTTCACGCTAAGAGGAAAAAAAATTATCAAATATGTCAATCGATAACAATGAATTCATATTTTAAAAAAATTATGATGAATTATCAAGAATGGAGCGGAACCAAAACTGACGGAGCGTCACTTTATGAATAAAGATGTAATTCAAATTTGAAACAAAAACACTCATAGTTTATTTATAATTACATTAACACCGAAAATTTAAAAATTATTGCTGAAATTCAAGATGATTACAAAATCTCTGAGGATATTTAGGCCTACTCATTTTATTTCTGAAATGCTTCTAAATCCTCGCCACTCAAGGGTCCTTTAAAATCATATCGCTGATGTAAACCAGGGGTTCCCAACCTTTTTTATGTATCGATCCCTTTATACAAATTTTTTTTCATTGACCCCTTTCAATATTATATATAAATATATATGCAACAATCTCCTACATAATTTTTAAAAGGCATCTTTCTATATTTATTTGAGAGGAAAACAAGGTAAATTTTTAATATTTTAAAATAAATTTTTTATGTTTGCAAACTTTAATCGACCCTTATTGGAAAGCTCTGATATAAATTACCTTTAATAACTCCAATTTCCATTTTTATTATGTTAGAATTTTGTTAAAATTTGAACATAATACGGTTTTCATACAAACTATGCATAAATATAATATAACAAAATATATTTTTGTTTCATATATTAGACTATATAACTTATTAAAAATTGTATAAAAAATTATCATAATATTTAATATTTTTCGATAATGGCCTTTAGTTAAATCCTATAAATGAAGCATAGTTTTACACTTGATAGTTCAAAGAAATCAATCTTTATATTATTAATAATAGCAGTATTAAATTACAAAATTAATATAATTAAAATAATTTATATAATAATTTTAATATATTTACTCGAATAATTGCAAATATCTGTGATTTTTCTTCGAATCAGATCAATGGGAGAAGGCAATGCAACATATGGGCGACCTGCCAAGAGGAGCGCAAGAGAGAAACTGGCCATGTTTAGGTGTTAGACACGTGAAGAAATCTTGAAAAGTTCACGTGGTCAGTTCGTTAGTGAGGCACGAACCCGCGACTAATGTTTAGTTGTTTGAATTTTCTGTGAATATAAATTTTTAGACTATTGCAAAAATATGCAGCCAATTTCGTTTCTCAACTTTTCACATTTCAACTACTACAATATATCGACATAAGAATGTGTTTTTGATAAAATCGTGCATATTTTAAAATGATATAAAAATGCGCAATAATAACATTTTTTAATTGTAAGAATCGAAAAGGGGAGCGTGACACACTAGAAAATTATTAAACGATAAAATATATGAGCATTAGAAGAAACTGACCAGATAGGCAAGACTATTATAGACATTGTTTATCAGCAAAATTTCAAATCTATTTTTTTCTTTATGGATAAAACATATTAGTCATGATTCTTTTTGTCTACACTATGCACTTTGCTCTAGTATCCCGTATCTTTTCTATTTTTTACATGACTGTATTTATGTTTAAACTGATATGATTTATTGAAATTTTAGCTCGTACGAATAAAATGTCAATAAAATTGAAGGGCTGAGGGCAACAGTAACCTAACTGTCTTTTAAAAGTTGAGATGTTGTACTGTAAAAATTAATGTAAGTTACTCTAGTTTTTCATATTTTTCCGTTGTACTTGATGTGTTTCCGTCAATATTTAATCGGAATTCTGGTAATCTCTCATTATATTTGGAGGCAGTATATTTAATATACGAAAGTACATCACTGCTAACTTAATTTTAACATCAGAGACCACTGTTGCACTCAGCCTTTCAATTTTTTATTTTGTTACAATATATATACATATTGTAATATATTTTTATAAACTATAATAACTTTTTATACTTTATATTGGCATTATATTAATGAAGACAAACTACATTAAAATTTGCAATATACAGTAGAAATTAAAGTTCAATTAACAGGAAGTTCGAATTAACGAGAGTCGGCTGTATTATAAATTTAACTAAACTATTTACTCTGAAATGTATTTATACTTTTACAAAATAATACCTAAACCTCTTATCTTCGAAACATTTCACAGGTTAAGAATTATTCTGTGTGTAGCGTCCTTGCAATCCAAACAATAATTTTGGTAGACGACCAAACAGCAATTAGTTAGAAAACTTTACGGTTTATTTAAAACACTTTTTTTAATTCAGATGCATTTCGGGTTGGCTTGTATTCCCAACCCCTCTTCAGTGCTGTTAAAAGTACAAAAAATTTCACGACATTGGTCAGTATGCCGTAAAAAAGGAGGAGTAAACAATAACATAAAAACATTAAAAAATATTTAAAAAACTTACATGTCATATAATGGTACATCATAGAATTGTGATACTATGTTTTTATTACATAGATGTATGACTATTTTCTATAATATGAAAAATGTAAAGAGGATTGCTGTTTGACACATCATTTATATAGAAATTATATAATACAGATTATTAATTTCAGAGTATCTATGAACACTTACATTTTTAGTTAATATGTATTATTCCCGACAAAAGATAAAACAGGGGAAAACAGACAACTGGTGTTATCCGGTGTTCACAGAGTAACAGTATACCGACAAGTAATGTTATTTAAACCATTCTTAACATGAGATATTCAATTCGATTTAGAGAAAGAAAACAATAATAAAATAAATTACCTTGACATAACAATCATGAATACACTTAAAAGTTTTTTTTTTCATAACATACAAAAAACCATGTAATGTTAATAAAACTATCAACTACTATTCATATGTTCTAGAATATATAAAANTTATAGGTATAGAATAAACCCCTGGTAAATTATTTCGCTTTTCCTTTCTCTTATCATTTCTTAACCTTCTGTAGATCGTCGGATTACGCCGATAAACTATTTGTAGATTATTACTGTTCGCCACTCTCCTAATCATTTTGTTTAAAAAAGGAAAATAATTAAGAACTACTCTTCGTTCCTGGGTCATTTTTTTGGGATGCTGCCGATTCTGATTCTGAAACTTCGTAATAAGCTCGTCCACCTCCCCTCTCCGATAACCTTGTTGCATTGCTGTCTTCCTAATGTAATCCAACTCTTTGTAAGTATCTTTATTATTTTTTATGTTATTTGCAAGTTATTTATAGATTTCCAGAAGACGCAAATCCGATGAAGTACGCATGTGCATTTCAGTTTCTGTTTAATTTGTATTTCATGCGTTCTTTTTTAGTGTTCTTTTTTAATATTGGTTCAACTGAAGATGGCTGTTTAAAAACGGTTGAAAACGTTTTTATTAAACATTTTTTTATTGCTGGATAGTTAAAGGTTTATTTTAGTTATATTATTTATTCATTTCAGTATAAGTTTTTGTTTTTATTTATTTATTTGTTTATTAAAACAACGAATTACAAAATTACATTTATAATGTTTGTACATAATGACAGATAGATGATGCACCTAAACGATAATTGGTGCCGTGATTGGACTTACATTACGATTGAAGGCAAATGATGGGTACTGAAGAGTGATACGAGGAAGGAGAAACACCCTTATGGAGGAATCCGATTAAGTCCTAGAAGAATGTGGCACTTTGTTGTTGTCCTTGGGTCCTGGAGTTATGGAGTCTGGCTATGCCTATTCGGAGAGTTAGCTGGAATATTGTCTTGAGTAGCAGTTGGGGTGTGATAGTCTGCTAAGTTTAAGTTGTTGATGAATTTGACGAAATTGGTGTATGTGTCCTTGTCCTCTAGGAATGCACTGAGGTGGCAGGGCCAGTTGTGCCCTTTTTGGGTAGTCAGGTCTCTTAGTTGTTGATGATACTGATTGAATTTGGTACAAGTAAATATGATATGGAAAGGGTCATCCCTCTCCTTTACTTGGCAGTCGCAAAGTCCATTTCCCTTCTTTAGGAAGCGATGTACTGTACAACATAACAACAAACTAAACATTCTTAAAACTGTAGGAACTGTTTACAAACTTGAATGCAACTGTCAAAATCCGAAAACTTACATCGGTGAAACAGGCCGGTTACTAGAAACAAGAATTAAAGAACATGAAGCTGCCATCCACCTAAAACATAACACTTCCCCCTGGTACTACCACACAGGTGACAATAATTGCTAAATTAATAAAAACAATATAAAAGTGTTACATTTAGAAAAAGACCCATATAAAAGGAAATTTAAAGAACACATAGAAATCAAAAAACACCCTAAAGATAACTTAATTAATATTTCAGAAGGCATGTCAATAGACCCCCAATGGTATAAACTAATAGAGAGCGCCTCCACGCATTAAAGATTGTTTAAAAGCACACCCCCCTTGTACGGAATGTTAGGAATGGTTTAAATAACATTACTTGTCGGTATACTGTTACTCTGTGAACATCGGATAACACTAGTTGTCAGTTTTACCCTGTTTTATCTTTTGTCGGGAATAATACATATTAACTAAAAATGTAAGTGTTCATAGATACTCTGAAATTAATCATCTGTATTATATATTTTCTATATAAATGATGTGTCAAACAGCAATCCTCTTTACATTTTTCATATTATAGAAAATAGTCATACACCTATGTAATAAAAACATAGTATCACAATTCTATGATGTACTGTACCATTATATGACATGTAAGTTTTTAAAATATTTTTTAATGTTTTTATGTTATTGTTTACCCCTCCTTTTTTTACGGCATACTTACCAATGTCGTGAAATTTTTTGTATTTTTAACAGCACTGAAGAGGGGTTGGGAATACAAGCCAACCCGAAATGCATCTGAATTAAAAAAAAAAAGTGTTTTAATAAACCGTAAAGTTTTCTAACTAATTGCTGTTTGGTCGTCTACCAAAATTATTGTTTGGATTGCAAGGACGCTACACACAGAGTTTGATGATACAGCAACCATACATTATACGTTAAGATTTATGTTTTGTTCAAAACCTGAGGATTTCATTCAGACTTTATTAAACATAAACATCTACTTACTTTTCCTATAAAAGGTACCAAGTGATGTTCACACATGGANCTTTATGGATAAAACATATTAGTCATGATTCTTTTTGTCTACACTATGCACTTTGCTCTAGTATCCCGTATCTTTTCTATTTTTTACATGACTGTATTTATGTTTAAACTGATATGATTTATTGAAATTTTAGCTCGTACGAATAAAATGTCAATAAAATTGAAGGGCTGAGGGCAACAGTAACCTAACTGTCTTTTAAAAGTTGAGATGTTGTACTGTAAAAATTAATGTAAGTTACTCTAGTTTTTCATATTTTTCCGTTGTACTTGATGTGTTTCCGTCAATATTTAATCGGAATTCTGGTAATCTCTCATTATATTTGGAGGCAGTATATTTAATATACGAAAGTACATCACTGCTAACTTAATTTTAACATCAGAGACCACTGTTGCACTCAGCCTTTCAATTTTTTATTTTGTTACAATATATATACATATTGTAATATATTTTTATAAACTATAATAACTTTTTATACTTTATATTGGCATTATATTAATGAAGACAAACTACATTAAAATTTGCAATATACAGTAGAAATTAAAGTTCAATTAACAGGAAGTTCGAATTAACGAGAGTCGGCTGTATTATAAATTTAACTAAACTATTTACTCTGAAATGTATTTATACTTTTACAAAATAATACCTAAACCTCTTATCTTCGAAACATTTCACAGGTTAAGAATTATTCTGTGTGTAGCGTCCTTGCAATCCAAACAATAATTTTGGTAGACGACCAAACAGCAATTAGTTAGAAAACTTTACGGTTTATTTAAAACACTTTTTTTAATTCAGATGCATTTCGGGTTGGCTTGTATTCCCAACCCCTCTTCAGTGCTGTTAAAAGTACAAAAAATTTCACGACATTGGTCAGTATGCCGTAAAAAAGGAGGAGTAAACAATAACATAAAAACATTAAAAAATATTTAAAAAACTTACATGTCATATAATGGTACATCATAGAATTGTGATACTATGTTTTTATTACATAGATGTATGACTATTTTCTATAATATGAAAAATGTAAAGAGGATTGCTGTTTGACACATCATTTATATAGAAATTATATAATACAGATTATTAATTTCAGAGTATCTATGAACACTTACATTTTTAGTTAATATGTATTATTCCCGACAAAAGATAAAACAGGGGAAAACAGACAACTGGTGTTATCCGGTGTTCACAGAGTAACAGTATACCGACAAGTAATGTTATTTAAACCATTCTTAACATGAGATATTCAATTCGATTTAGAGAAAGAAAACAATAATAAAATAAATTACCTTGACATAACAATCATGAATACACTTAAAAGTTTTTTTTTTCATAACATACAAAAAACCATGTAATGTTAATAAAACTATCAACTACTATTCATATGTTCTAGAATATATAAAGAAGAATATTTATATTATGGAGTTAAAAAAACATATACAAGAATATCAGATAATAAATGACAAAAAATTAAAATAAAAGAGTTAGAAACTAAATTTTTACTTAACGACTATCCTAAATCGAAATTAAACACATGACAAAAATAATACTGGGAAAACATATTTAATACGAAATACAAATTAAACAAAAAATACAAAACCTTCCCATATATAAAAAAAAACATTTTCGAGGGCTGTAATAAGATCCTAAAGAAAGACAATATCAGTTTAGCGCCATCTTTGACCAACAAAGTATCTCATAGTATCCATTATAACATTAATAAACAACATAACAACAAACTAAACATTCGTAAAACTGTGGGAACAGTTTACAAACTTGAATGCAGCTGTCAAAATCCGAAAACTTACATCGGCGAAACAGGCCGGTTACTAGAAACAAGAATTAAAGAACATGAAGCTGCCATCCGCCTAAAACATAACACTTTCCCCTGGTACTACCACACAAGTGACAATAATTGCCAAATTAATAAAAACAATATAAAAGTGTTACATTTAGAAAAAGACCCATATAAAAGGAAATTTAAAGAATACATAGAAATCAAAAAATACCCTAAAGATAACTTAATTAATATTTCAGAAGGCATGTCAATAGACCCCAATGGTATAAACTAATAGAGAGCACCTCCACGCGTTAAAGATTGTTTAAAAGCACACCCCGTTGTATGGAATGTTAGGAATGGTTTAAATAACATTACTTGTCGGTATACTATTACTCTGTGAACACCGAATAACACCAGTTGTCTGTTTTCCCCTGTTTTATCTTTTGTCGGGAATAATACATATTAACTAAAAATGTAAGTGTTCATAGATACTCTGAAATTAATCATCTGTATTATATATTTTCTATATAAATGATGTGTCAAACTTTCTTTATGGATAAAACATATTAGTCATGATTCTTTTTGTCTACACTATGCACTTTGCTCTAGTATCCCGTATCTTTTCTATTTTTTACATGACTGTATTTATGTTTAAACTGATATGATTTATTGAAATTTTAGCTCGTACGAATAAAATGTCAATAAAATAATGGTACATCATAGAATTGTCATACTATGTAATAAAAACATAGTATCACAATTCTATGATGTACCATTATATGACATGTAAGTTTTTAAATATTTTTTTATGTTTTTACGTCATTGTTTACCCCTCCTTTTTTACGGCATACTGACCAATGTCGTGAAATTTTTTGTATTTTTAACAGCACTGAAGAGGGGTTGAGAATACAAGCCAACCCGAAATGCATCTGAATTAAACAAAGTGTTTAAGAAAAACCGTAAAGTTTTCTAACTAATTGATATTTGGTCGTCTACCAAAATTATTGTTTGGATTGCAAGGACGCTACACACAGAATTTGAAGATACAGCAACCATACATTCTACGTTAAGATTTATGTTTTGTTCAAAACCTGAAGATTTCATTCAGGCTTTATTAAACATAAACATCTACTTACTTTGCCTATAAAAGGTACCAAGTGATGTTCACACATGGAAAACATTTCGATATCTTTCACAATAACCATCTCGTCGTGATCTTCGTGAAATATTGCGTCATTAACGACATCTGAAATGAAAAATAAAATATATGAAAATTTTAATAATATGTCTCTTTTCTTACGCCATCTTTTAGAAAAGATGTTACTGGATTTGATACATTATGAGAGTGGGTCTGGTCAAAATCACGATGGATATGATTAAAAGGCTTCTTATTGCCCACAGGACGAAAAGAGTCATATATATGATTTATGATGAAAAATCTTTTGCGAAAAAAAACCTTAGTGAAAATTTTAAGTTCAAATATATTTTGTAGTTTTGAATTCTTTATAGTATAGTAGTTTATATTTTAAATTCAAACAAATTCTCAATGAAATATGATTACAAAATCACAAACCAACTGAAAAAAAACTAGAAGAATTGATGGGCACAACAATAGAATAAGGCAACTGCGAATAGGAGGGACACGAAGAAAGTCGGCTCTGTACAATAGATGTAAGTCAACACAACTAGATAAAAGGAAAAAGAGCTCAATTTGACGACGTCTCTGACTATAAGAAATCTTTTGTCCGCTAAAGTTGCTGACACACATGAATAGTTACAGAAAAAAGTTTCTATACATCGGCAGTAATACTTATTTCTGATAAGTACGTTGATCAATTAGTTCAATCGTTAAGGAATGTAACACTCGTTCCTCAATACCAGTATGAAATGTTTATTTTCTAGTTCACAAATTATTTTTATTATAAGTAAAGTGAAAGTTTTGAGGTATAAAAATCGCTTATTTCAAGTTTCGTGTTTTTGAACACGAAATCAAACTAATGAAAAAAAATTAATTACTAATTTTTAGAGGCGTGCGAATTAACCAAACTTGTAAATATAACTGAAAAATTTCTATTTTTCTTTTAATCTAATTAATCACTAATTAATATTCAGAATACGTAAAATATAATTACGTAATTCAAATAACTATAGCCTAAATTAAATGATTTCCTGCAGGCTCTTTATTTATAATAATAGATTCTGAAAACCTATATATATTTGTTTTCAGAATTTTTTCTTCAAAAATAAATTTATAGCTATTAATTATATTTTATTTTAATTTATTCAGTAAAGAGAGAACGTTAATTATTTTAAAAATATTGAGTATAGATAATTATTTATAAATGAAAATTACGAGTAATTTCATAAATAAGTTTAAATTTTAAGATAATTAAACTGTCAAACGTGCACATAAAGCTAAAATTTACATATGAGAATATGTTTAATTTGCAATCCAATAAATTCTTTTCACATTTAAAATATTTAAAAGTATAATAAAAAAAAAGTCGAAAGTGTACGAAAGTATTATATAGTTTTAGTGGTAAATATCAAGTTTTATTATTAGAGAATAATTTCTCCATTATTTACTAGCTGGCTACAAGTAAACAGACATAGATTGAATGACATTGGGATTAAAGACGGATTTCAAATCATGTGGAATTTAATTCCAAAGCATTTGACTGAGTAGAGTCAGAAGGCGAGTAATTGAGGTTATTATAGCAACGACACACAGTCAAGCTGGATATGTGTCATTTTAGCAGTTTGCCTTGGTTTCTGATTGAACGGAATGTCAGTTATAATAGCAATAACTCAGTCGAATATGACTTTTTTAGTATTTTACTTCATACATCACACGTTTAATATAGAATTTGGCTTGTGGATATTTAAGAAAAAGATGCCCCGACCTTTTACCTCTTCCGTAATTTGAAAATAAAATAGTGAAAAGTGCAGTAAAGTATCTTTTAACAAGACAACGAGACAAGGGACGGATTTAACGGGGAGACTGATATGAATAGAGAAGAGGATTTTCCACATCCTTATTCTATTGAAATACCACTATTCGGGTACTGAAGCGAAAACGTAAGATAATTAGGCAATGTCGTTCGCTACCAGATAGGAGATGATCTAGTCTATTGACAAGATATCAAGCAACTAAAAAGAAATATTCCAAGTTTTGTCGTTGAATGGAATATACGAAATATTTGAAAATGTTAAAAGTTAGTGAATAGCTACTCTTCTTATTATCAAGAAAACCTTTTTAATAGATTAATGATAAGATCGCTAAGTTTTTAGATCATTTAAATTTAAAATAAACATAATTTAAAGATTTCTTATTGATTTGAAATATAAAAATAAGTTTCCCATCTTTTAATATGAATAACTGAATAAACAAAAATGATTACTTTAATTATTTTAATACTGTAAAAGTATTTTTCTTAGGATATTAATATGGCAGTAAGTTAATGTAATTCTATCATTAAGTCAATTAATAAAATTAATAAAATGTTGTATATAGTTTGACAAATATAAGGATTATAATTTACATTGTATATTCTTATAATAATTTATATTATGAAATACTTTTTATATGTAAATAATTTAATATAAGTTAATATTATAATATATTAAAATCAAGTATTATTTTATAAATCGTATACGCAAATATATATTTTCATATTGTAAGTTATATCAAGTGAAACTCCAAAATATTTTATCTAAATTTGTATCAAAACATTATTAAGAGCCAGAGTCAGAGAAAACAACTTTTTATTCAGATAAGATTAAATTATCTTGTAATTTTAATCTTACATAGAGAAATATCAAACGTAAATTTCAAAACTAAAATACAGATGGAAAATAATTGGCTAAATAGATCATACAGTAAAATAAGTTATAATGTAATATATAATTTTATATTTATCTTTCTTAAAAAACTTATATATTTTATCTAAGTTACTTTAGTTTATGAAATATTAAACTTTACACGTGAATATTCTATTATTTGTATATTAGGATATAAACTATGTTTACAAATCTTATCAATGCTATTATAGATAAAATAATATTTTATATAACTTCTTTAAATAAATAGAATAGTTTTACTCTCTGTTTTTTTTCTATGAGAATTGTAAGTTTTTGAAATGATGTAATATCACTTTAAAATATGCATATATAAATTCTCTTATTCTATGAAACAAAGAAAATAATATCCTTGACATAGAATAAGAGCAATTAAATTGATCAGACTAGTTCTAAATGAGGTCACGTTCAAATTCCGAGGCCAAATTTGAACTTTGATTTTAAAGCTGAGATTACAATACTGGCAATATCACATAGTACTGTATACATTTATCACTTCTAACAATGAAATCTTTCATTAGATTTTGTGGATTTATGAAAATGACAGCCCAGAAAAACAATAAAACGTTCGATCAACTCGACTAGAACAAATACAGTTAAATCTACAGAAAAACTGGAGCACTGAAAACAATGAATCAAGATTCAGTTACTTGTAGATAGCTCCCGATGACGTCACTTCCTTCCGTGACAAGAAAGCTCCATTTGAACTTCTTTAGATGAAGTCTTTAATTAAGTGCAATTAATTTTATTCCTCAAATAAGCAGGACTGATAGCTTTTAAGTAATTATATAACTTTATTTAGGTTGTTTGTGTTATTTTCCGCTTTTAATTTATTTCGTGGAAAGGTTAATTGGTTTAACACGTTCTACAAAATTAATTGCTCATTTACGCTATTAATTAGTTTAGAAGAATATTTGGATAAATGACTGAAAATGTAATCAATATAATATTAAATTATAATTTAAAAACAGAGTTTTTTGTATTTAAAGACACTTTTATTATTTCCATCTTCCTTTTTAAGCTTTTAAAAAATAGAAATATATTAAATAAATAATTATAAAAAAGGAAAACTTCTGATCTATTTACATTAATAACAATCAAGAACTAGCATTATAATTACAAAGATATGTTTTAAAAGCGTAGAATAGCATCAAAAGAGAAGACTCTCGATTCTTTTAAGCGCGGTATTACCTCCTCTGGGATGGAATCAAGTCAAAAGAAGATGATTGATGTTGATACTTAAAGACTCTTCGATACTTCTAATCTGGGAGATAGTATTAATGCCCAACTGTTGCGCCAATGGACATTTATCTCTTGCAAGGACGACTCATCCATACATTATACAGTCCACGGGATATATTTAACACGAAAGATTGAATATTACGGCAATATATTAATGATTAATGTTCACGAAACATTTTTTCCGAGAACCGTATGAGATGAGATTTTATTGAATATAATTAAGATAACAAAAACACACAAAAAGTAAAAATAATTCAATTAAGTAGATCTTGTAAAATTTCATTTTAATGAAGGAAGAGTGAATAAGAAAAAAATATTTTGCGTGTATTTTGCATTTCACAAAAAAAAATATTTTATGCATGTAGCTAATGATATTTCAAGAACATTTTTTTTTAAAACTAAGTATCAATTTATCAACCAAAAAGGACTTGGTGAGAAGGGAATTGCATCTCTGGAGAAATTATCTTAAAAGACTCTAGTGTATAAAGAAACAAGTAGCTTGACTTGTTCAGATTTATGTTTTAACGTCAGTTTTTGATATAGTAATAAAAACGATGCCATTCGAGACCACCTACGGTTAAAACATAAAAAGAAAAGCGCTTATATGAGAAAGGGGGAGATCATTCCATTCAATTTAATTACAGAATGGCCAGAAAATACAAAGTATATTTATTTTCAATAACGTTTATTACCTGCTTAAGAAATTTAATAAAAATAGAATGTCTGATTCAATATATATTGTGTAAATATATTTTTAGATTTTTTTCCTAATTTACTATTAAATTGAGAATAGTTTCAAAAGTTGTCTTTGAACTTAATGTCTTACAACGTGAGAAATAATACTCCTTTGTCACGTAGTGATCAGACTATAATGTTATACGATATTTCAACAGAGAATTAAGACATCTTGTATAGTTTTGTTGGGATATATGTAATTTTGCTTATATTCTATATTTATTTTTTATATAAATATATCTCATTGTCTTCATAACCTTCAACAACGACTTAAAAAAATAACTATAAAGTTAGATTTTCAGCTATATTTTCTTTCGATAGAATTTTATTTATAATAATAACCGAAGATTTTTCAAAACATCTGAAAATCAGTAACTAATATGTAAATTATAAAATTTCATATCAAACTCA